TTATTTAAATTTTAAATATAATTTATATATTTAAATATAATATTTATTTATATTTAATTTATTATATATAATAAACAGGTTTGTATATTATACAAGACTAAACTATTAGTTCTATAAAATTGAAAATATATGATGTAAATATAATTTTCTTAAGTATTATATTTTGTTCTTTTAAAACTCAAACGACGGTGTTTTACTTTGAAAATTAAAAAAAGAAAAAAAAAATTTGAACGGTGAGAGAATGAAGCGAAGAAGCTTCGAGTCGCGTCCACAACATCTGTTAGCCACGAACGAAGGCCTCCGCCACACGCCGACGGCGTTCCACCTCCGCAGTCCGCAAAGCAGGTCAGTGGTTGATTCCGTTATAAATCTTTAATTTCCGTTGTAAATTACGAATTTTTAATCCTAGCTTGTTCATTTGTTGTTGTTGCCCTGTTGAGACAAACAAATCATGGACTTGTGTAGAACTTGTTTCATTTTTGTTTAAAACTTACTAACAGGATTTCTATTTGGATGTTGAGTGACTTATTAGTTTAATTATTGGTTGAACCAAAATATGACAAATTGATTAGCTATACAGAAGTTTATTTCATTTTTTTTTGTTTTATTTTTTCTCTTCAACAAGTGCTTATGAAAAAATTTATCCAAACTAGCCTAATTTTATAACACGTTATATAATTGACAATTGGAACCAAATTTGTTTCTTGTGTATATTATTATTTATTTTGATTTTAATTAATTTAAAGAAAATAGAGATGGGTCATTGCTATTTGAGTGAGGATGCAGTTTTGTGTCCCACTGTCCCCTTCTTTTAATAGATTCTTGTAGTCATTGGCACGATACTCATTTGCAGGACTTGCATTTTCTTATATCAATTGGTGGAAACTATTTGTTTTTGGTTAGAGTTGGATAGGAACAGAGCATAAAACAACTATAGTACCCCGTCTCTCTTGGAAGTAGTAGAACTGTTGTTGGCTTTCTCGTGATCAATGGTGCCGATGAAGTCTCTCTCACTTCATTCTCATGCCTTGTCAAGGTAGATACTTCATGTTTAAATTCTCAATTAAGTTTTTGGGTACCATTTTTTCTTTCTCATTGTATACTCAATTTCAAAATTTCTCCTTATTTTTTTCCTCTTATTAGTGTTTTCTTGTTGCTGTTACAGTTTTTCCGTAAGTGAAATTGGAACAAACCCAAGATGGGCGCCCTTCAAGTCCTCAAATTTTCTCTGTTGTTCCTCCAAGCCTCAAAGTTTAAGCAGATTTGTGTGTCTGAGTAGTCAAAACGGTGGCTTTAGAGAAAACTCTGGTGAAGTTGGTCGTGGAGATGCAGTGATAATTGTGGATCATGGTTCGCGTCGTAAAGAGTCCAATCTCTTGCTTAGTAAGCTAAACCCACCTGTTACAGCTCTGATTACGTTACTTGTGTATTGTTGATGCTTAGTAAGCTAAACCACTGTCATTGTGTTAACTTGGAACATGAATTTTTTTGGGGCATTGGGGGGAGGGTGTTTACTGAAATTGTTCAAGTACTAAGGAATCTTTTTATTTGATGTCTAAAACTTGTCTTATTTTGAATGTCAGATGACTTTGTGGAGATGTTTAAGCATAAAACTGGGTATGAGATTGTGGAGCCTGCTCATATGGTAATTTTCTGTAATCTGTTGAGTTTTTCATCATGTCAAGGACCGAAAGACCATATGAAGATAAAGAATGAAATCTGAATGATAGTAGATAGATAATTGAGCTGCTGTAGCCTATAAGCTAATTGACTATTTGTCATTTGACTCATTTCTTGCCTCAGTTTAAGGATATAGCTTCCTTGATCTTAAAAAAGCACCTGTGAGCATGAGAGCTAGTCTGGCATTATTTTAGCATTCTTAGAATTTTCCTTGGTTTGTTTAGCATGAACAATAAAAGCATGCTTATGATTTGCCTTCTTGAGGAAATATGGCCAAGCTTCTTACACTTTCTTTCACAATCTGACCTGGAACCTAGATTTGACTGGTAGAGATAAGAGTAGTGACACAATTTTCTTTGTGCATCTGCCCATGTCTTTGCCTTTTCATTTCATGACTAAGTTGTAGCCATGGAGCAAATTCTTGATGCTTCGTAATTGTATTATACATTTGCAGGAATTAGCAGAACCATCAATAAGTGATGCTTTTCAATCTTGTGTTAAACAAGGTGCAAACCGTGTTATTATCAGTCCCTTTTTTCTCTCTCCTGGAAGGCATTGGAATCAGGTAGGTCTGCATTGAACACTGTCCTACTTTTCTATGAATTGTCAAAATGATTCTCTGACTTGATGAAGGTAGAAAGTAGGCAAAAATTTTAAACATCATTTTATGCAGGATATTCCTTCCTTAAGTGCAGAGGCAGCGAAGGAGCACCCAGGTGTGTCGTACATTGTAACTGCACCCCTTGGGTTACATGAGCTACTTGTGGTATGAATTCTATTACATTTGTTTAAACACTCACTAAAAGTTGTTCCATTTCCAAATTTCAAGTTTGATTGTATTTTTGTTGTCGTCAACTTTGGTTAGACTTATTATTCCTTAAAGATTAGTGAGACATGGATTTAAATCCCTTTGGATAAAGATTATTTCTTAAAGATTAATTTAACCTATGCCAAGTGCTCTGTAGGGGGCTGATTTTTTTATTTATTAACTCAAGCTTGGTGGGTCGGATTTTCTCAAGTTATAATATAACCCATGAATATGATAGTCGTCACATATTTGAAATGAAGGAAATAGCTGACTACACTAATTGAATGAGGATCTTAACTATCTCGTCTTTACATAGCTGTGGCTATAGGCTATAGCAATGGTTCATGTAGTTTTTTCCACTAGAAGCTTTTCGCATGCTGCTCATCCTCTACAACCATTCTCTCCTTTTTTTGGGGTGGCCAGTGGGAATCTGTCAATGTTTGTTCCATAGTTTTTACTGTGTTCATTCAAATCATTCCAATGTGTTTTAAGTGTAAAAGAATTATATGTGAAAGTGTGTTCATTGAAATCATACCAGATAATGGATCTATTTTGCATTGTAATTATGTGTATCACTTTGAAGTTTAATGATCTTTTGCCCACAGAATGTTGTGAATGATAGGATCAAGCATTGCTTAAAGCATGTAGCTGGAGATGCAGAAGAGTGTTCAGTTTGTGCTGGGACTGGAAAATGCAGGCTCTATTAATGTGTGAAGTTAGGTTGTTTTGAATGCTGTTCCTACAAGGTAGATGAGGCTGAAAGTTAAAGGAATCTGTAAATTGAGTTGCAACTGTTCTGAAGTTGTGATTTCAGATTGTATATTATGGACTCTTGTTGATCAAATTTTGCTGTCACCAGTGGCACATGAAATTGATCGTTCAACCAGATTCTTCTCGTTTGTGAGCAAATGTATTCTTATTCACTATGCCATGCTTCCCAAATGTGGTTAAGTTGAATTTGTTTAACAAAATAATTTGCAATGACAAATTATCGTTTATGCAGATCATGTTGTAACGATATGTTATATTTAATATTTATTCTGATGCACTTAAACTTGGTCTCTTCATTGGTCCATCATGACTTTGAGGAGTTTTTTTTCTTCCTCCAAGTTGTATCAGTATTTAACATTAATGTAAAGGTTTCTCTTACCCAGTTCCAAATCCATCAAGAAACTACCCATATTTCTCTCAGTTATTTCTGGTTTGTGCCAAAAATAAATGAATAAAATGAGAATATCCCTTATTGCTTGCGATTGCAAATAGATTGACTTGTATGCACTATCATAAGTATTGGTGCCGATGTTTTTCAATTAGAATTATGTAATATACGTGACAAAAAGATTTTATTAAATGTCAATTCAATGTGTAGTATTAAGATAAAAATTTAATTATGATCGTAAAATATTACTAATATCTATAATAATATATTTAAGTATTGTCTGTTGGATAACAATAACACGATTTGTAGATGATTAAATTTTTTGCTTGTTTAAGTAGATGGGATTCAACCAAGTTAAATGATACACATATCATCTTATGCTTAAATTATTTTTATTATCTAATTACTTATAATTAGAAAAATGCTAATTAATGGCCGGGCACAAGTTAAAAAATCAAATGTAGACATTTTATTTTATGAATTAATCACTTATATACTGTTAGTGTAAAATTTTTTTACACTGACAACTAATTATATCTTTTAATTGTACCATGTCACTATAAGCACATTTACTTTTAACAGTGACATGACACAATTAAAAGGTGTATAAGTAATTAACTCTTATTTTATTATTAAAAGTTTAACCGCTAACTTTCTCGTATAACTTTTATTATTCATTAACTGGTGTCCCAATATAATTAAACTTAACTTATTTTCAAGTTTATGGCTTACCTTGTACTGGCTATACCTTAATTCTGCGGGTAGCAAATAAGACACACCTGACCTGGATGAGTAAGGGTCGTTTACTTAAAAGGTCAGGCTTTTGTTAAAATACTTTTTTAATTTTTATAGTTTTACTTAATTTATCTTTTAGTCTTTTATATTTTCAAATAATTTTTTTAATTCATATACTTTTTAATCATTTTTAGTTCCTATGATTTTATATAAATTCTTTTAGTCTCTATATTTGTAATTTTTTAACTATTTAAATTTCTGTCATTAATATTTTTTTGTATTAATTCAATTTTGTATTATAATATGAATTAAAAAGATTAAAATATTAAAAATATAGACACTAAAAAGATCTATATGAAATTATAGGGGCCAAAAAAGATTAAGAAAGATAGATATAGAAACTAAAAATGTTTATTTTAAATTATATAAATTAGAAGGTAAAGTAAGTGAAATTATAAATATTAAAAAATATTTTAACTTATTTTTAATTATATAGAGTGGGTTTAGATATAATTTAAAAGTTTCTAATTATTTTTTACCAAAAATAAATAATATTTTCTAGTAGAAAAGTTCTAAAAGCTCATTCTAGACTTATATTTTACTTAATATAATTAATTTCTATAAAAGTTATTTTTACTTAATTTCTCTAAAAATCAAAGTGTATAAATTAATTTAAGCGTACAAGAAAATTCAGTAAATTTAGTTTTTGTATTTTTTTTATTCATTGAGTTTGACAATTTTTTATGAATAAAGATCCTTTTTATTTTTTTTCTCTCTTCATTTTTTTTGTTACTAAAATTTTAAAAATATAAATGTCACATTTCGTAAAATATACATAAACTTTATTATATTATTTTTTTCTCAAAAAAATTAGAAAATGAAAGAAATAGAGAGAGAAAAAAAATAAAAAGTCATCCATTATAATTTTTTTTTATTGAGTTTTTCCAATTTAAAAAGTAATAATCAGTGAAAGTTTTATGAACAATTACGTGAGAGAGATTTATTAATTATAGTAAAATATATAAATAATACTTTATATTTAATATTTAACTTTTTTATGAATATCTGTGAATTAGAAGGTAAATAAGAGGGTTGATGATGAAGCGTAGGTAGGGTGAAGGAGGGAACAAAATGAAGGGTGCAAACTTGTTTAACCTATTCCGATTTTCCGCTTCAAATTCAATCTCGCGCTTCACTCTCACTGCAGGTACCTTTCTTCTTCTTCTTCTTCTTCTTCGATTTCAACTCTCTCTTTTCTCTCATCATTTTCTTCTCTCAATTTTTGATTCAGATTACAGCAAATTCAAATTCGCTTCCATAAGAACTCTACTCAAACCGAACAACCTCCAACTCTCACTTTCCCCTCTTCAACTTGCCGCTAACTACCTCCGTACTTCCCGATTATATGGTGATTAACCGATTAGCTTCCTTTCATTTCTCTTTCTTTTTCTATGCATGTAATATTTAATTCTATGACTTGTAAGATGATTATTTGAAGAAAAAAAAGGAAGAGAAAATTGGCTATGAATGCAGGAGTGTAATGTAGTTTTAAATAATCATTCAATTACAATGACTTTGGTGACTTTTAGGATAGCTATTTATCATACATGTTGGATTAGATGACACATGACACATGATCATGTAAAATTCTATATAGTGTGTATATATATGTATATATATATATTTTTTTTGAGTGCATAAAAGTTTAGATGAGTTGGGTACCGGGGGTTATTTATCCATGAGAAAAAAAGGCTATGCATTGTTTACGCTGTTATCTAATCAGAAATCACTATGTTTGGTATGTTTGTTGAGTTTTATAATAATTGCCTAAAGTTCATACCAATGATGATTTTTAATTGGTTGATAGAGTAATTTTTTTACACAGGACATGACCATTAAATTCTTTATTCATTTGGTTCTCGTTGACTTGTTTGTGCCACTCTTTAATTTCCACGCATTTACGGTGTAAAAGTTAACTAATCAGAAATCGTGTTACTGATGTCAGAGATTATTTTTGAGGTAGTTATTGTAAAAACGATATAGGGTTATCATATATGGTAATTTTTGAAAACACTGTCTGTGCATGTACTGTTTACTCTACTTATTTTTTTATTTTTCTATCAATGCTGCACTGCACTAGCTGCATATTCTAAGAAAATCCCTATGAAAATGTAGGGTTGCTTATACAAAAGTTTTGGTGGGCTAATATTGAATGTGATTCATTATTTTCTATTAGAAATTTGGAAGTTTCTGGGGAGAGGGAATATTGAATAGAATTTGTACAATGCAAAATCCATTAGCTAGAGTAGAGATGAGGTTTTCTTTGCTTATTATTAGGTTTTTAATTTTCATTCAAGCTTAGTTTTGTATCATTTCAATTTGGCAGTGACAGGGTTGTTACTTTAGGATGAGATGTATGTGATGGTTTTAATTTGAGTAGTTTATAGTGTGTGGTGATGTAGCCTGGTGCTTGAAATGTTGGGAAACTAAAAGTTTGCTTTATTTGATTTTAAGTGATGCCCAAAAGAAATATGCTAAACTTGAATGATTAATCTGCGAGTATTCTCAATTTTTATGTTGCACGATGGGGTCGTTGGTGCATATTCCAGGCAGTTACATATGCGGTGGAAGCATTTTAGGTGTGTCAATTGCATCTGCACCAATTATAGCTTATGCCATGGATGGTGAGCTGCATATCTGATTGGTATTATGTACTTTAGCTTTTCTGTTTGTTTTTTTTAGTAACTGTCCCCCGTACTCTCTATTCCTCTTTTTCTTTCAATGAAAAGAGTTTTTTATTTGAAACATGTAGCTGGGGATGCATTGGTGGGTGATCATGAATCACAGGACGTTTCAGAGGAGGAAGAAAATGTGCATCACTGGTGGAGATTGGCTAGGAAATTTTGGCTTCCTGTTTTTTTCTTTCTTACAGTGTTGACTAACTTGGATGACTCAATTACAATACTATTCATTAAGCTTACTTTGTTCCTCCTCAGCACAAAGCCCAACCCTTTCTCTGTATATGTATTTGTTGATCAGGTTAGATACTGCATTAATAATTTGACAGTTTAAACTACAGAATGTAGCTGAATTGTCTTTGTTCTTTTCCCCCCAAACTCCAACCACCTTAAGACTTTTCTACTTGGTTTTTCTCAACACATTTCATTGGGTAACTCAAGCTTTTGTCACAAGACAAAATAATTTTTGTAAGAATTTTCGTGGCCTTATTCTTGTCCCAATGCCTCTACTATTTTAAATAACTATATTGTTTTGAACACTGATAGTGTTTATGCGATTTTATTTTATTTGACAATTTGTTGATTATAATTTCTTCTTATATTGCAGTTGTGTCAACAATTTATGCGCCAAGAAACAAGATTTCTTAAAGTAAAGGTACATGGCCTTCTCATATATTTGGTTATGCTTCTAGTATGAAAATCTAATAAACTATTTCAGTTTTTTCCACTTCTATTGTAATATCATTTCATGATACACTGATGGAATAATTGAATTTCCTTTATGGTCCCTGTAGCATTTAATCATATATTGTTTAGAAACCAGCATTTTTTCTTATCTCCAGCTTTCTGAAAGCAAATTTGGGAACCTATAGTTTTGTATGTTCCAGCAAACTTACTTGCAAGTTCATTGATACTTTAGTCAGATATTTAGATGTAATAATGTATGCATTGATATAGTTGATCTGCCGTGTTAGTAAAACAAATATCATAATTTGACTCTGAATTCTTTATGTGTTTATTAAGGTCAAAATACAGGACATTTAGGCCTTGATTGTTTACTGTTTTCAATTTTTTTTTTCCTTTTTCTAAAATTTGTTTTTCCCCTAAACACATTTGATAGATAGTTTTTGTCCCTTGATCACATGTCTGTTTTCTATAAGTTTGTCCCCTGAGCGAAAAATCTCCCGAGCCAAAGCACTTGAACACAGCATTTGAAAAAAAAGTCAAAACAGGATGAGAAAACATCTATCAGCTGTTTCTGCATTTTGGTTTTTAAAACACTTATTTTGGAAACAATTTTTAAACTTAATAGATTGTGGATGAGGAATTTATTGCTGAGTAGTGTGGAATTGTTTTAAAAAACAATTTCTAAAGAAAAATAATAAATAAGGGGGAATCAAGCAAACCTTTACTATCTTACTCATGCTTTGAATTTCACTGATCCCCACAACTAGGAGCACTTTTGTTGAGTGACTATTGCCTCTGACATCTGGTGATATTTTATCTACAGTCACTATACGCCAGCAAAGTTGAAGTGCAGGACTATAAGCTTCTTTGCTTGGCCGATGTTGAAGTAAGAGATCAAAAGTTCACTTTGGTTGGAATTCTTGGTAGTTGGTGGACTTTGCCGCATTTACCATTTTGGGAAGCACTCTCTTATGTTAGAAATAGAATTGAAAGCATCTTGGTGAAAACAACTTAACAAGGTAGCCTGCTAATTTAAATTTAGCACTCCTTCTATGTTGCCCCTTTCCCAAATCTTCTTATTGTGAGCAAGTTAATCATTCTGATTTTAGGGAGTTGGGCCTCTGTTGGTTTTGCCCCTTTTGTATATTTAACAAAACCATGTTATTCATTGAAGAAGAAAAAAAGGGGCAGGGAGGGTAGATGAATGATGAATCAGACATGATTGTGCGTGCTTGGATTAATGGTGAATTGAACTCACCATGGTTTTTGAAAACAACAAATTGATAAAATCATGGTGCGTTCAAATCACCACCAATCTAGACACGCGAATTATTACTTCCAATTAAAGTATCCTGTCAAATATAACTGCCTAGGCTAGATTGTCATCCCCCTCTTGTTGCTTGATACCTTTCTCATGCAAATATTTATATCTTTGTATGATTGCGACATGTCAAAATTTTGTTGCAGCCCTATTGTTCCTCTGCCACTTTTGATATTTTCAAGTGATTGTTAGTTTTGAAGTTTTTATTTGTTTGAAAGTGTAAAGCAATAGAAGCCTTGGACCTATAAATAACTACGACATTTGGTTTCTTTGATAGACTTCTATTGTTTTGACAACTTTTTTCTTCGATTCACTTTGAAATTTTTTCAGATTTAGGAAGTTCATATTATTTTAAGAATTATATTAAACACTTTAATATTAAAAATGACCTGTATTTCGTGTCTTCTGAGTTCTGACTGTTGGGAAACCGTTGATAGATGTTAACAAATGTTTATCAATTTAGAATTAGGAATTTAGGATATATAAGTGTATTACCATTTGCTTATGAGCATCAATGAAAAATCTGAGAATGTTTATTTTATCCTTTTTTTTTAACCCTTTAATGATAGAGAATAGTAGTAGCTTGGTATTTTCACTCTATTATAAACCCTTAAAAGCCATCGAAAAAAATATTTATAGTTAATAATTTAAATTGTTAACTATAAAGAGGTTTAAAACCCTGAATTTCCTTTGTCTTCTATTAGGCTTTTTAATTCTTCAATCCACTTCATGCACAGTGGTCAATCGTCCACGAGTCACGTGCTTGATCGGTGCTATTTATCTAATTAGATTATCGTATTAGGACCTATTTATCGCATTGCAGTTGGCTATCACTATTAGGACCTATTTATTTGATTAAATTATTAGAAAAGCTGTCAACATGTCTCCGCTCTGACTTTCTCAACAATGAATATTGCATATTTAATATTTTAAAAATATTTGGACAGGCAAAGCACAACACATGTTCCGAATTTCAATAATGTAATAATGTGATTGCAATTGGACATTTAATCTTATGTTATTGTTGGTTATTTTACTTTGCTATTTGTTGGATGAAAGAAAGCAGAAAAACTTAAAAATCTTTTCAAATATAATAGTATATTTTTGCGAGGCATGTGAGGTGGTGATATATTGTTAATGTGTCTATTAAAAAAGCTGCAAGATACTTAAATGTAAATTTGGACAAATCTTATATACAATTTTTTTTTTGATGTTGATATTTTATTTTACTGGTCTATGCTGACTTTTATTATGTGAATTACGGAGATAAAATTCTAATTTTGATTGGATAATTGTGTTAAAAATACTAATAAATTGCATCTAGGATTTATACTGCAAGTTTTGCTTGAAAACTAAATTTCTAAACATGTCCAGGCTCTTGACCAAGAGAATCCATTCAGCAAACCTAGAACCTAGTCGTTGAATAAAATTTGAACACATTCTGATTTGGCGTGAGACTTGCAGTGCATGATGCCAATCGCCAGGTGAAGGGGCATTGAAAAAGAACCGAGTTGCTGTGGAGAAATTTTTTCTATATGCTTTCAGCTTTTTGCCAAGTGACAATCTCGCATGGATCCTTTAATTTGTTTCACGTGCTTGATATCGATATTCTTAGATACTTAATTGATACATATTTGTAACGTATCCTACTCATTAAAGAATATATGAAAATTTAGTACAACTAGCCATTATCAGACATAGAAACGTATATAATATAGAAATAGAAGCAATTATCCCTTGATGAACCATTTTTTTTTTCTCTTTATAGATGATTGATTTCAAGAAAGCAAAAAGATTGATATTATTTGTATTTGTATTTGTATATAATCTGAAGTGGTTTATGATGATAATGATTTGTGATTTTTATTGTTTTTAGTAATGTCCAATAAGCATATTATTAATTTGAATTTGTAAAATTGTAATTATATATTTATTATGTTTTATAATTTTTTTTATATGCATTTTGTTACATGTCTGTGCATCATAGATCTCAATGGAGTCTTACCCAAAAATAAATAAATATCAACAAGGTTTGGAGCTGTTAGAAATTGCAATTATATATATTTATTGTTATATTATTTATTAAATCATCCCCCTTAATATTATAAGAAAATTACAAAGATAAATTACATTTTTGTCCTCTTATAATATCTATCATGTAATTTTGGTCCATAAATATTTTAACTCTGCAAGTTTTATCTATTAAATATATATATCTATTAACCATTAAAATTGTATAATTGATCATTGTTAAGTAAATGACATAATAATTAATATTTAATATGTAAGCTTAATTCTCATATTTACTCCATAAAAGTGGCTAAAGAAAATGAAAATCCAAACGAAAAAAAATATAATTTAAATACTATGCCATCTACTTAATATTAGATTACAATAAATGTTAGGAATTTTAATAATTAACTAATGAACATTTAATAAATATATTAAAATTACAGATTTTATAAAATTAAAAATAAAATTATGAAATTAAAAATTATAAGATCAAAATACATTTCAAGTGTTATAAAAATATCAAAAGTGTAATTTACTCGAATAGCAAACATTATAAAAATAAATTAAAGTGATTTTATCGTAAGGGTGGTTGGTTAGATATTGCTTATAGCAAATTGTCATAATAAATAACAAGTAAACTCAGCAGTTATTCAACTCTAAAGTTGAAACTTGTTACATCACTGTCAATTTGAAAGTCAGCCACCGCAGCCAAATCATGTTTCACATCAAAATCAGAAAAATAATGGTATATGACCCACTCGTATTATTAAAGAGGCAACTGGGGCTTGAAAAAATGACATGTTGAATGCATGACATTTTTCAAGTACATTCATATTATTAATAACCACATTTTTTTAATTCTTTTTTATTCATATAACTTCAACATCTTTAAGCAAATTTGAAAAGTAAACTCATCTTTTAACAGTTATAATTACTAGTCATGACACTGTAGCAAGGTGATGGACAATCTATAAATAATTAAGGATATATGATAAGTAGCGGTTAAGCATCAATTTAAGTTTTGTTGAATCTGGATTTACCAAATTTCGAATTCTTATAAGTGTTTACATGTCGAGTATACATATAAATATGAGGTCATAAATACCTTCTACAAAGACAATTATGTTTGAGCTGAAAACATCCTTTGTTAAAGTATATACTTGATGTCAAGTTCATGTCATTAGAATTTTACTTGTCTATCTATTCTATTGAAAAAGTCACATTGCTTGCCTCTATTACTGTTGCAAAGTCTCATGTCTTTCTAGAAATATGTTGGAGCTAAGTTCACTTAAGGTTAATTGATTTTGAGATAAAATGTAACATACTCTATCCTTCTTTTTGGTTGGTTGGTTAGGAAACCTCCCAAAAACATGGAGTTATTGGGAATCAAGCTTCCATAATTTTTTCTTCACTTCTTGATGGCCTAATTAAGCTGCGTGTACTAGAGGACTCAAAGGAGCTGTTGGACACACCAACCTTAAATGCATTTGATGAGGAGATGTCTGTGCTAAATCCTAATGGAGGTGTTTGATCTAGCAATTTAGAGTTCAAAAATGGGGGTTGTTTTGGTATAGGGACGTCTAAATTTGAATTACTTAACATGCAAACAACTTGAGTCATGGATGGCCTCAGGGAAGGAGAAGCTTGTGTGCATAGTAATCCAATTTGAAAAACCCTTGATGCTTCTGCTGCTGGAAAATCATCTTCCAAGCAAGGATCAACAGCTTCAGCCAATCTTTTTGATTGGTATAGTTTCCAAACCTGGTTCCACAAGTACAATTTTCTACATTATCACAAACATCAAGTATTTAGTATGCAATTAGAAGAGCTTATTTACTATTAGTACCTATTTTGATTTATCTTATAAGTACAACACTTGTATAATGTTTAAGTGTCTTTTTATAGAAACTAATCATGTTATTGATACGAAATTTTTATTGACATTATGACAACTAATTTCTCTTAAGAACTTGATGTGGGATCTCTTAAAATCGATCTAAGCATAAGGCCAATAAGACCTTACCTTGAATTTCCTTTAATTTTTTTTTGGTATTATTATTTATATAATTTTTTTCAAGACTTATAACTAAAAAGTCACTTTTTATATTCTTAAAAGTTCATTCCAAAAAGTCCATTTCTAAAAAATATACAAAAATAATTATTTTTTATGAGACCCATTTCTAAAATATTTTTATTTTCTTATTAAAGGATATTATTAATTTTTAAAAAAAATTACTTTAAGATTTGCTTTAGATCTAACAATGTGTTAGGCTGACCCTTAGATCTCGCCAAAACTCAGATCATGTTTACTAGACCAAGTCCAATTCTACTTGGACCAACTTGTTAGTATATTTGTATAAGTGTTTGAAAGAACTTGTCAAAATAACTTACAATATGCCCATAAGTTAATTTCTGCTTATTTTTAATAAATGTAACTTATGAAAATAACTTGCATGAAAACTATTTAACCATATTTTTTCTTTAAATATATAAGTGCATAAAAACTGATTCAATAAACTATACTGGTTCCAAGTTTAGGGAAAATTAGGCACTGGACTTACTGTTTGCAAAAGGGAACCAGAATCCTCACGGAAGACATTATTCTTCCAGCCACATACAATTTCTAGAACAAGTACTCCAAAACTATAGACATCAGCTTTATCTGTAAGTTGTCCTTGAATGAGATACTCAGGAGCCATGTAACCTCTGCTCCAAGAAATGAAACGGCTAGTGTCATTTAGAACTATGAAGCTTGTTAACAAAATATACAAAAAATGCACAATTTTAATTACCAGCTCATGCTTTTGTCTTGAATGGTTTCTTTATATGACATCAGTGCCTTTTGAAAATAGGGTGTGTAAATTTGAATTGAAAAAATTATTGTTGATCCTTCACTTCAAAGCATTAAACTTAATGCAATGCATTTGTGTAAGACAGCATGTTATTGATATAGAAATGAAGCAAAGCTTTACTTCGGTTTTTTAACTAAATAGTGTCACATTTTAGCTTGTTGAAAAGCTAATAGATTACATAACAGAAATTGATTACATAATTTATTAACTTGCAATCTTGCATGCATAATGTCGTGTGCTAAAAATCAAAGACTTACAGTGTTCCAGCAATTCCAGTGCTTAGATGAGTTTTATCAGTACCAAAGCACCTGGCAAGACCAAAATCTGCAATCTTGGGATTGAGATTCTCATCAAGAAGAACATTGCTACTTTTGATGTCTCTATGGATGATTCTTGTTTCAGAGCCTCCATGAAGATATGCAAGCCCTTCTGCAGTTCCAAGAATTATATCAAACCGCTGCTTCCATTTTAGAATCCTTGTTTTGTCCTTTTCTGCAAAGCAGATTAATTTGTCAATATCACCTTTCTGAAACTACATATAAGCATTTGATATCTCTTGCCCTTCCATCAATATTTGCATGTTGGTTGGTTAACTTTATGAAATTAGGAAGGGTTAAATTTGTATTTATTCTTTTGTAAATAGGGTAATGTTCGCTTTTAGTCCCTAAACAATAAATCAACTGCATTTGGTTCCTCATTTATGGAAATAAGAATTATGAAAATGTGTCATTTGCTTCTTATTTTCATAAGGTCTTGCAATTGAAATTGATTAAGGAATCAATATATAGAGAATTTTTATCCCAAACTACAAAAAAGTCACAAAAGAATATGCAGATACACTTTTCATTAAAAACTTTATACTTTCGATTCCTTAATCAGTGCCCTAAGGATACTAATTAGCATTTTTCATTTCATAAATGAGAGATCAAAAGAAAACATTTTTTTATGGAGGACAAAAGTCACATCTGACACATTTTATAAATGAAAGACTAAAAGGAAAAGGACTATCTTTGTGGGATAAAAATTAACTTTATCTTAATTGCAAGGACTAAAATCATGTTTAATCCAATTAGAATATTAATTGGAAAATATAGTACAATATTTTCAATTGGAGTTATTATGAGAGAAAGGGAACATACCAAAAATGAATTGATCTAAGCTCTTGTTAGGTAGGTACTCATACATAATGAGGCTCTCAGGGCCTTCAATGCTACACCCCAATAGTTTGACAAGGTTTTTGTGTTGCATTCCACTAATTAAATTCACTTCATTGAAGAATTCATCCACCCATTGCCTATTATTGAAGACTAATCTCTTAACAGCAACATCTTTCCCATTTGGTAGAGTTCCTTTGAATACAGAACCAGCTCCTCCTTGGCCTATTTTTCTTAAAGAGCTGAAATAATCTGTGGCCTTCTCAAGAGTTTCATATTTGTAATTCAAGCTAGAATTCTTTAAGGAAGAGGGAATCTCAATGGAATTGTTTTCTGCGTGATTCAGGAGAAAATGAAATACATCATCAGAAAAATTAACAAATAATCATTCCAAATATATATTATTGGTATGACAATAGTCTTTCAGAACATTACTTTTTCTCTTTGATAATTTGGTGAAGGCCGCGAGAGAGAGCACTACAATTGCTGCAGCCAAAACTAACACTGCTGCTATGATGGTTCGTTTTCTAGAAGAATCTAAAAAAAATGAAAACATGGACAATTGCATCAACATGTATATAAAATAAATGAATAACATGAATCTGTGCCATCTAGGGACTAAAATCTAGGAATCTATTCAGGACAAGGTTTAGAGTTATAGCAGTGTAGCAGTGTAGGAAAGTTAAAGTTGAAAAACAGCATTTCAGTTACAAGAATAACAAATTCACCCCCTATCTTCTTTTCCTCTTCATCTGTCATATATTCTATAAACACCAGAAGGAATTTGAAAGTGCTTGGTAAAAAGTAACAATTGAAATTCCCAGTTGAGCTTCAGTTTCCAAATTCCAACATCAAGTTAAGATAAACTTCTCGATAATAAAAAGCAAAATTAATCAAACTTATTTCTTAAGTTAATATTGAACCGCGTAAACTGATTTTAACTTGTGGAAGAAGTTTAATTCATATCACTTTCTTATTTTTACTCTTATAAGTATTTTTTGAAAAGTTTATCCAAAAAAACAAGGCCATAGTAATTGAATCGAGATACAATTTATGTATCACAAAAGCCTATTTTGAATCATGAATCGAATCATGAGATTCATAATCAATAAAAACATAGCATATAAATATATAAGTTCAGAAGTGTTCCTTCAATTCCTTTTTATTTAACAATTTAAGCTTGAATGACTTTTCAAATTTTCATGAAAAATGGTGAAAGGAAGGTTAGGAAAAAAAAAGAAAGAATAGTTGAATCGTATGATTTGTATTGATAATACAAAATAGCATAGATTTATTCATGTATCATGAAATACAAAATCATTTTAGATTCATCTTGAGATACAAAGTTGCCAAATTGTATAGAATCGTAGGATTCTGATAACTATGAACAGGACTGAGAAAACAAATGAAGAAAATGAAAACTTCAGAGAAGAGCAACACTCTTACCATCCCCTTCACCATCATGACCTCCTTGATTGTAGAACTTAACAGTTGAATATCTCAAATAACACCCTGAATTCAAGGCCCTCCCTTCCCTCCTAGGCAAGCACCCTCTAACCTCATTTCCAGCTTTCCTCAAGCAATGATCACACCCTTTCCCCTCAACACTTTTCCAGCACTGTGCCAAGGCATAAACTCCCTCACCTTCTCCCACTGCAAACCCTCCTCCCTCATTCACTGCCTCCCTCACCACACTCTCAACCACTTCACCAACACTCTCATTAAACACCAACTTTTCAGCATCACCAACCACAGCACCATTCTGAGAGGTGCAGTTCACTGTGTCCCTCAAAGGGTCAGTGTCCTCAGTGTAGAAACTGTAGTTATCATAGCGAAGGAAGCAACCATCAAGGTAAATGCGAGCAGAAACTGAAGGGAGGCAGCGAGGAAGCTTGGTGCGGCTTTCAGCAAAGCACTGAAGGCAATCAGTGTGGGAAAGGTCTTGGAAGCATTGTGCCAAACCATACATAGGAGTGGTTGAAGACATGTTCTCAGAGTGAACACCCCACTTGTGTTTTGTCACAAGATCTTGAAGCCTTTCCATTTCATTGATGAAAATGTGGAAGTAGTTGTCACTTGGTTGTGCCTTGTGTGTGCCACAGTAGTGCCCCACTTCTGAGATTCTTGGATCAGATAGTGCTGAGTGGGAGAAACACAAGAGGGTGGCCACTGAGAACAAAACAACAACAAATGATGGATTGTTGTAGTTGTAGTTGTAGTAGTAGTGGTTGTTTTGATATTTGGAAGCCATGCTTGTTATCAAAGGTTTAGGCCTCATGGTGGCAGTTTCGTTGTGATCCTTGATACTGCTAATACTGATTGACTAATGTGGATGATGTTGGCGAAATTGGCTGAGCACAACAAGAACAAGGCGGTGTAAACAACTAGAGCAACAAACAGTATCAAAACTTTGACCTAGTGGATGAAATTGCAAAAAATATGAATGACTAATGTAAATGATGCAGTCACAGTTGAGATAATAATGTAATTGACGACTCCAAAAATCTTCTTGACCTTTTGACCAAAATGATGAATTGGTTTTTAATAAAAGCTTGTTTGTTATGCTAAAAATGAATGACTAATGTGGATGATGCAGCTACAATTGTGGTTGTGATGTAGTTAGAAATTCCAAAAATATTGACATTGAGGCTGACATTGCAGTCATGAACATGTTTTTAAAAGCTTGTTTGTGATGTTGGCTCTTTTGTTCTTAAGATTTCTCTATTTCTCTCTTTATGTAATGCAAGAAAGAGTCTTAAGTCTCATTTTTTTTTTGTGTTTTGTGAGTTTGAGTGGAAGATGGTGATGGAATGGGCAACGGGGACAGAGTTTGCGTGGTTAGCACCTTAGACTTTTCATTCTACTTGTTGCTGTCATGCTCGTGTCTAACATCATTACTTTTGAACATAATTTGAAAATTTGGAATGTTTAAACCAAGTACATGCACGATTCAATATTTATCCATTTTTTTAATATTTAATATTTATTGATAAATTTAACTAGCTATCTATAATGAGATTTTTTTTTCTTTCTAATTACATTTTTTATTTAAACACGAGACTTTCCTTAACACAATTGAAATGACTTGTTTAAAATCTAATGGATATCTTCGCTCTTTAATTGTAAAATTTCTTTACACGTTAATCAAAACTTGTTATATATATATATATGATTAGTGAGTTGAAAAAAGTGTAAGTTATTTTACACGAATAATGCATACATTTATTTTTTTTTTCTCATTTGTTATACATAATTGAATTAATGATATTTTATCATCTCTTTACTATGATATCCCTCTAGTTTGTATGTCAATGAAATAAAATAAGAGAATTTGTACATTCATAGAATTCTTTGATTAAAACAATAGTAAAGTGTATATGCCTTATTTTAATCAAAACTAAAAGTATATATACCAAAATATTTTTATAAGGTGATATACAGATTTTATATAACATGAATTAAGAATTATAATTAAGTGGTATTTCTCATTTATTGTTAGTTCAAAATGTTCAGTTTTGATTATAATTATATATAAGTCCAGAATAAAAAGCGTAACTTATTTAAATCTCACATATATATATATATATATATATGAGGAGAGTTCAAACGACACTGGTGTAACTTTTACTAAGTGTTACACCGCTCAATAACTTTATATTAAATGTAAATTTTGAAAATCCAACCGTTAGATTGAAAGTTCATATCTCTTAGATCATATATGTCAAATTTTGTTAAAATTGAACAACAACTTGAAGGTAATCAAAGTGTTCATATTTTAGTATATTTTGAAATGTATATATTACGTTAATTTTGTTTTATAAGAATGAAGTATCAAATCATCTTAGATTAATATAAAATTTGATATATATGATCTAAGAGATATGAACTTTCAATCTAACGGTTGGATTTACAAAATTCACATTTAATATAAAGTTATTGAGCGGTGTAACACTTAGTAAAAGTTACACCGGTGTCGTTTGAACCCTCCTCATATATATATATATATATATATATATAAAAGTAGGTTATAATTATATAATTTTTACTAAGTATTACACCGCTTAATAACTTTATATTAAATATGAATTTTGTAAATCCAACCGTTGGATTGAAAGTTCATATCTCTTAGATCATATATATCAAATTTTATATTAATCTAAGATGATTTGATACTTCATTCTCATAAAACAAAATTGACGTAATATATACATTTCAAAATATACTAAAATATGAACACTTTGATTACCTTCAAGTTGTTGTTCAATTTTAACAAAATTTGACATATATGATCTAAGAGATATGAACTTTCAATCTAACGGTTGGATTTTCAAAATTCACGTTTAATATAAAGTTATTGAGCGGTGTAACACTTAGTAAAAGTTACATCGGTGTCGTTTGAACCCTCCTCTATATATATATATATATTATATTATATTATGTATGCTTTCTTTTTTAGTCAAAGCCAAGTGCAATCGACAAATTGAATTTACTTTTTTTTTTCTTTTTAAAGAAAATCCCTTTAAGTGTTTTGGACTTCTTGACTTTTGTTTTTCAGCAAAGACTTTTATGATTATGAACAGAAAAATGTATGATTTTAAGAAAATGAAATTTTAGTTTGATAAATTTCTTGTGACATAAATTAAATATTAATTTTTAATAAAATATTTAAACAAGTTAAGTTTCAAAAGTTAACTAGAGTCATCATAAATTTCAAAGTTCTATAAACATTTAAAAAAGTATTTATAAATTATTCATTAATAAGATCTTTATATTAGTAGAGATAATCAAATTCATGTTTTTTAAAATATAAATATATATTTTATTGATTAGATCAACTTTTGTTGATTATATTAAACAATATGATACATTTCATAAAAAATGAGATCAACCCTTTAGTCAACACCTTATGAGAATTATAATTTTTATTGACCAAATTACATGTTTTCTAGAAGGGATGGATAGACACCACTTTCAGAGTCAAGTTCCAAAATCAAAACAATATTTCCATTTTATGCCAAAAATATAATTGGATGTTAAATGAACCTTTTCTTTTGAGGCTAACTTTGGGTTTGGATTACACAATGAATATGTCTCGCAAGTTATTCAATTTAATTTACCTAAAAATGACCCTAGAATGTAAGTATTGAAGCATGATCAAAGTCATAGACGGCATGTTTGACTTGTATACTAAAATAATAATTAAAATAACACTAAAGTTAAGATAACATGATAATGATATATAGAGAGAGAGAGACAGTATTAATTGTGAGGTGAGAGAAATTAATGTCCACTTTCCTAAATACGTCTCCATAACTATATCTGTCAATGAATGAGGAATAAGATTTCATAAAAATAAACATTGAAATAAATAACTAAAATATAATTCATGGTTCAAGACCACGACGTTGTATAAAAAGAAAAAACAAAAATAAGAAACTCTAATTCACAATTATTACCATATAGTTTCTTAAACTTATATTACTTGAGTAATTAATTTAAAAGTTATGTCATGTGAATAATTTTAAAGAGTAATTACACTAGGAAAATTCATTTGGTAATTTTCTTTTTTTTAAAGTCCTCCATCTAAATCTAATGACCAAATTACTGGTAGTTTTTAATACAGCAGGAAAGCGATTATGAGGGTCTTAGGCATAAAAATCTTAATATAGCTTTGAGGTTATTACTACTAGATTTTTTTTTTTTAAAAAATAAATCTTAATAAGTGGTTTGGTTTCTAAATCGAACCAATTTGAAATCAAGTTTTCAAGTATTTCAAAACCGTTTTATTTTTGTTAATTGGTTTGTATGAATTAAGCCTGTTATTTTAGTCTTAATGATCATAGTGGCAAATAGGGTTGTAAAAAAATTAATTTTAATGATCATAGTAAAAAAAATTGTAATCGTTTCTTTTATATATATTTTTTGTAATTAGATCTTTAGAGTTAATAAAACCGTGTATGTATGATATAAAAATTTGTAAACTCAACTTATATATTAGGAACTATTAATTTAAAAGTTAAATTGTTGAAATTTGATGTAAAATATAAGTTATTGAGTGAAATAAGTCTATCAAAACTTATTTTTTTAGAATAAGTGAATATATATGTATATATAAAGAGTGAAAAGAATAAGTATTAAACCTTAAATCTTATCATGATGAATCAAAATTAAAACATAAAAACTATATGACTTTAAATAATCTCCATTTTTGAGAGTATGATTTTACAACAAATTTTTTTTGTTAAACTTTTGTATAAAATATCTTTTTCACAATACATAACATTCCCATACATGAAGTAATATATAAGGGAAATACTCGTTTTTCTGTTCACTTTTTTAAATAAGATTATTCTTCTGTATTATATTTTAAGTTTTTACTATTATATATTTAAGGATAAATAGAATATATATATATATATATATATATATATATATATATGCTACTAAAATAAATTTGAACTCGTTAAAAAAAATAAAATTGAACACGAGATTTTTTTGTTTTTAATTTCATTAAGTCAAAGGTTTTTTTTTTTTTTTC